ATTTCCATGAGCAGTGTTTGAGATTTCCAGTTGTTCTGTATATTCACCAACATTTAGCGCTGTCGGTATTTTTTCATTTTACCCATTCTGTTACGTATAGAGGGATCTCCTGATTTTATTTGCATTTCCCTGATGACTAATGATGTTAAACATTTTTTAAAAATTTAACATTTTTTATTATTTATTTTCGAGAGACAGAGGGAGAGTGCACGTGGGGTAAGGGCAGAGAGAGGGAGACACAGAATCCGAAGCAGGCTCCAGGTTCTGGAGCTGTCAGCACAGAGCCTGATGTGGGGCTCGAACCCATGAACCATGAGATCATGACCTGAGCCCAAGTTGGACTCTTAACCAACTGAGCCACCCAGGGGCCTCAGTAATCTCCTCTTTTTATAAGGACACCAGTGTATTGGATTAGGGCCCCCCTAACAGCCTCATTTTAATTTCCTCTTTAAAGACCCTATCCCCAAATATAGTCACATTCTGAGGTATTGGGGGTTAGGGCCCCAACATATAATTGAGAGGTTACACAATTCAACCCACAGCAATAGAGCTGTTTATGTTCTATATGAATTTGGGGATTTTTGTCTAGTTATTCTACCAAAGATTAACATTGTGATGTTTAAAACCCAACTTTGTAGATTTTCCTTACTCCATTTAGTTCTATGCGGTTTTGTTTCATATATATTATACTCTCTCATTAGGAACACAAGATGTTTTTACTGTTAGGCTTTCTTCGAGTTAAATCTTATCCCTGCATGGTATGCTATGCTTAGGTGTGATTTTCTTTCTATTTATTCCCTTTGGGGTTTGTCAAGCATCTTAAGTCCCCAAATTTGTTTTTCAACCAATTTAGGGAATTTCCAGCCATTTTTTCTTCAAATTTTTTTTCTGCCCTGTTTTCTCTTTCCTGCCCTTTGGGATACCATTTACATATATATAAGGCAACTTTCTACTATTTCATGTATCACAAGAGCACCCACTTTCTAAATCTTTCCCTTGGTTTCTTGGGCTGGAGAAGTTCTAATTACTGTTCCTCTGTTCCCCCACCATACCGACTGCTGCCGTCTTCATCACCGTAAATTTTTCATTATATAGAATCTATACTTTTCAGGTCTGGATTTTCCATTTGTTTTCTTGTCCTTGTGGTTAGGTTCCCTTTCTTTGCTCAGATTCCCCCATTTGTTCATTAATTTGGGTCATGTTTTCTATTTAGGTCTTTGGCGGACATATTTATAACAGCTGCTTTAAGGTCCTTGTCTGCTAATTCCAGTATCTAGATGACCTTGGAGCTGGTTTCAATTGACTTCCTCTTCTCCAGACCGGAAGTCACGGCTTTCCCGTGTCTTTGTAATTCCAGTGGTTTTTTTTATGGTATAGTGAACATTGTGGATGACATGTCCTTTCCAGATTCTGTAACTGCTATCTGTGGGCCAGTGTGATGCATTCCATGCCACAGTTATTGAGAACCATTTGACTGGGCTTTAATTTCATAATGTTGCATGCCAAGGATCTGGACTAGTTGACGACTGCATCATTCTTTGCAGCCTTAAGATTTCTGGTTATTAGGAATAAGTTTTTGTTTATCTCATGGAGAGCTTTTAGTATCATTGAGACTATCAACAAATACTGATATCATAGCTATTGAGTAAAGCATGGGCTCTGTCTTCAAAAACTTTAAAAGATAGCTAGGGAAGCTAGGATGTGTCCAGAAGTGAATTTTAAAATGTGGTAGACCTTACTAAAATAGCTAAGCATGAAAAGGATTGACAATGCTAATGTTGGTGATGAGGTGGAACACGGAAACTCTCGTGTTTTATCAGTTACGTTTTTCTGTGTAACAAATCACTCCAAAATGAGTGGCTTAAAGAAACAACAACTCAATTAGCTCAAAATCTCACAGTTCTGAAGATTAGCTCAGCAAGGTGGTCATTGGGTTTTTGCTGTGCTCCGTCATGGGTCCGCAGTTAGCTGCTGGTCAGAGAGGGTGCTCTGCTCCGAAGGGTCAATTGGCTATTGACTGGGCGACGTGTCTCTGATCATCCGGCATGCTAACTTGAGCTTATTCACACAGTAACTGGGCAGGGGCCTGGGAAAGTGGACACGTGGAAGGCTTCCGAAGGCCCTGGCCTGGAGCGTCTCATACAATTTCTTAATAGTTGTATTAGTCAAAGCCAAAACAAGTCACAAGGTCAGCCCACATTTGAAGGATGGAGAAATGTGCTTTGTGTTTTTGATGGGAGGAGATACAAAGTCTCAGTGTATACAAGGAAAAGAATTGTGGCTCTTCTTGCAAGATGACATATATTTATTCCTTGTGGGGATGTAAATTGGTACTGATGCTTTTTTTTTTTTTTTTTTTTTTTTTTTTTTTTAGTGTTTATTTATTTTTCAGAGAGAGACATACAGAGTGTGAGCAGGAGAAGGGCAGAGAGAGAGGGAGACACAGAATTCGAGGCAGGCTCCAGGCTCCGAGCTGTTAGCACAGAGCCCGACGCAGGGCTCAAACTCACCAAGGGTGAGATCGTGACCTGAGCTGAAGTCGGATGCTCAACCAACTGAGCCCTCCAGGTGCCCCGGTACTGATGCTTTTGAAGACTATTTAGCTATACCTAGTAAAGCTATCAATTCCACTTCTGATATATACTCAAGAGACATTAGTGCTTATGTCCACCAAATACATGGGAAAAAAATGTTCTCCGTCCATTTTTATTCATAATAGCCAAAACCAGGAAGCAATGTAAATGTTCATCAATAGAAAAATGGAGAAATAAATTATGGAATATTCATACGATGGAATACCATATGGAAAAGAAATAACAAATGACCGCACAGGCAACCATTTGTTGAATAAAAGAACCAGACACAAAAGGAGACATACTGTATTATTGTATGATTAGATTTAGTTGAGGTTCGAAATTGGGCAAAACTATCTGTGACCATCGGAGTCAGTACAGTGGTTTCCTTGGTCTGGGCGGGGGGTAGTGGAGGGTTTTTAATGTTTATTTATTTATTTTGAGAGAGAGAGAGAAGGAGAGCACAAGCAGGGGAGGGGCAGAGAGAGAAGGAGAGAATCCCAAGGAGGCTCTGCACTGTCAGCACAGGGCCCAGCACGGGGCTTGAACTCATGAATGTGAGATCATGACCTGAGCCGAAATCGAGAGTTGGACATTTCACTGACTGAGCCACCCAGGCGCCCCAGGAATGCTCTATATCTTGATGTGAGTGATGGTCGTGTGTGAGTGTTAGTGTATGTGTGTGTGTGTGTGGGGGGGGGGGTGTATGTGATATTCGTCAGGCTCTGTCTGTAAGATTTATGCATTCAATTTACTGTAAGTTATACCTCAATTTAAAACAATTTTTTAAAGGGTGGTGGCGATGACAAATACATGTGATTGGAGTGGAGAGCAGGGAGGGACACTGGGGCCTGGCACGTCCAGAGGTCGTTTGGGGCCCTGGGGAACTACACTTGAAGGAACCAGGAGGTAGCAGGCTTTGGGGACTGGCAGAGAGAAGGGCAACCACTCCCACCTGACTCGGCTACCCTCACGCTCTGCGTCCACTCCACCTGCCAATCTTGCCAACCCTCTTGACTCCAACCTTCCGACCTTCTAGAATGAGAAAATTAAAAAAACGACAGTGACTTGAACAGATACATGCCAAACTGCTCAAAAAAGTATCAAAACACATACAACCCAAGCTGAGGAAGAGCTGGTGGCATAACTGTTTTTCTGTTTCGACACACCCTTAAAAGTCGGACACACCAACCCTATCGTCCCTGCAGAAGTTTTTAGTGTCATGTCGGGGGTAGTGTGCTGGGGGAACGGTAAAGTCCTCAGCAAACACAGATGGATAGCTGCACACTATCGATGCCCAGCTTGACTCTGGAATGTAGACCGGAAACAACCAACAGCTGGCATCTTGGAGGGAAAGGCCCCGTCATTCTGGGAATTTGGACTTCCTCACTGATTCTCTGGGAGGCTACACTCTCTGGCTCCTGTCACACTCAGTCTTGCTCATTCCAAATATTTGGAGTATTCCTCTTGATTGTGTCCGGGGCTCTTAGAAAAATGAGTTGTAACTTAGAGCCCTTCCCTTCAGAAACCCAGAAGAAACCCCCTCACACTTGTTAGCCAAGGGCTGGGCGAACCCTCAGGCCCTATTGCCTAAGAGCTGGATCCGTGTGGGATTGATTCTGGCCCAGGCAAACGACCTAGGCAGTCAGAACAAATGCAGCTGACTGGTTGGTTCTTTGGGACTTCAATAAAAGCCGGAAGGGGGGGTACGGCGCCTGGGTGACTCAGTCAGTTGAGCGTCTGACTTTGGCTCAAGTCATGATCTTGCGGTCTGTGAGTTCGAGCCCCACGTCGGGCTCTGTGCGGACAGCTCAGAGCCTGGAGCCTGCTTCGGATTCTGTGTCTCCCCCTCTCTCTGCCCCTACCCTGCTCTCTCTCTCTCTCTCTCTCTCTCTCTCCCTCCCTCTCAAAAACAAATAAACATTAAAAAACAAGCAAACAAAAGCTGGAAGGTGTACTCAATTGGACAAGAGGGTTCTTTGGGTGCAATTAATTGGCTCTGTGTGCATGAGAGAGGCTACGAGTTCAAGGGCTGCCATCACTCAATTCCTGCCCTCAGATACTAAATCTGAACCAGTGACTTGCTGATTGCTCAACAGCACCAAGAACCGCCCTAATGTACGTCAAGGGCACCGCCAGCCTTTCATTTGGGTTTTATTAATTTTTTAAGCAGGAAAGCAAACAGCGAGTGGCCTTCCTAGCCCCTGTTCGGCATCTTGTCTTCCAAGGAGCCCAGGTATCCCTTTTCCCGTTCTCACCCAGAGGGGCGGGCCAGAGCCGCGCTGGAAACCCGGTTTCCTGCCTTGTGGCTCTGTTTGTCTTGGACTTTTATCAAGGAGGAGCAGGGCGGAAAGTTCTACGTGCGGGCGGAGATGTCAAGCACAGCCCCCTGGCCTTTCTCCCAGCTAAACGGCTCCGATAAGTAAGTGGGCAGGCCTTGAGCCCCGAGACCCACAGACACACTTGGATGACTTTACAGAAATCAGTCGGCCGGTCTCTCCGAGGGCTCTGACTAGCTCCGGATGCGCCCCCTCCCAGCACCGCGGACATGGCCAACCAGACCAACGCCTCCACCCTGTACGACAGCTACGAATACTACTTGGACTACGTGGACCTCATTCCCGTGGATGAGAGGAAGCTGAAAGCCAACAAATGTGAGTCCTCGACTGGGGGAGCCAGCCAGGCAGAGGCTGGGGGTTGGCCCGAAAGACTTTCTCTGGCCACTTCCTACTCCCAACAGATGTCACAGATGAGCCCAAACACGACCCTAACCCTAACCCTCAGAGATATAAGTAAACGGGAGCAGAATCTTATCTGTCATCTTCTGTAAGAGGTTTGGAACTAACCTCCTAAGAAACTAGGATGATTTGGGAGCAGAATATGCTTTTATTTTTTTAATTTTTTATTTTTAATGTTTACTTAGTTTTGACAGAGAGAGAGAGAGAGACAGTGAGAGCAGGAGAGAAGGAGAGAGAGGGAGGAAGACACAGAATGCCCAAGCAGGCTCCAGGCTCTGAGCTGTCAGCCCAGAGCCCGATGCGGGGCTCGAACCCATGAACCGTGATCACGACCTGAGCTGAAGTTGGATACTTAACCAACTGAGCCACCCAGGCGCCCCTAGAATATGTTTTCTTTTTTTTTTTTTTTTTAAGTTTATTTATTTATTTTGAGAGAGAGACAGAGCACAAGCAGGGAGGGGCAGAGAAAGAGAAAGAGAGAGAGAATCCCAAGCAGGCTCCATCTGTGATGTTAGCTCAGAGCCTGACTTGGGGCTCAGTCTCACAAACCGTGAGATCGTGACCTGAGCCAAAATCCAGAGTCTGATGCTTGACCAAGTGAGCCACCCAGGCACCCCAGAATATGCTTTTAAGACAGACTTTTTTTTTGTTAGAGTGTGATTTGCCAGGGTTCCTGTAAGCTAGGTGAAATTTCTTCAAATTGCAGATTTCGCATTTTCTCTCACTCTATGCAGATTTGGGGGAGGTTACTGTGTCCACCCCTAAGATATATGATTTACTGGTTTCCATGAAAACACCAATTGATTGGGGCGCCCGGGTGGCTCAGTCAGTTAAGCGACTGACTTCTGCTCAGGTCGTGATCTCGCAGTTCGTCAGTTCAAGCCCTGCGTCGGGCCCTGCGCGGACAGCTCGGAGCCTGGAGCCTGCTTCCGGTTCTGTGTCTCCCTCTCTCTCTGCCCCTCCCCTGCTCGCGCTCTATCTCTCTGTCTCTCAAAAATAAATAAATGTGAAAAAAATTTTTTAAATACCAACTGATTTTACTCTTCATGGTCTCAGGAAGGACCACCAGAGCAAACCAACATGCTTTTTTTGCTCCTCTCTCTCCCAGTCTCTATCCCTTGGGTAAGTTGGTGCTTTGTGAACAATCTTCTCTGATTATTCCAGCTACTCGGTCAAGATAACAAGTTAGCTGAGGGAATGAGCACGAAAAAGCAAAGCAAACCAAAAACAGTCTCAGGGCTCTGCCATCCTCAAGTCTCGGGCTCCTTGGCTCTTTCTTTATTTTATTTTTATTTTTATTTTTGAGACAGAGAGAGACAGAGCATGAGCAGGGGAGGGGCAGAGAGAGAGGGAGACAGAATCGGAAGCAGGCTCCGGGCTCTGGGCTGTCAGCACAGAGCCCGACGCGGGGCTCGAACTCACGGACTATGAGATCATGACCCGAGCCGAAGTCGGACGCCTAGCCCCTCCTTGGCTATTTCATGCCCTATGATCACATAATCTGTCAAGAAGTAAGTGCAGTCACTAGAAGGAACACGATGCTTTTCCTATGAAAAGCAAGATCACTTGTTCACGCATCAGCTCAAAACTGAAATCCATTTGGATGTTATCGGTAATAAAAGGTAGCAGATCCCCGGCAGAGCCCTTGGAGAAAGTTGTCTAGAATGTCTTGTTAGGAAGTGTACCTGTTTCCATTTTCATTTACAGCCTCCAGGAGTCCGGGTACCCATCCACGTTTGCTGCGTCCCCAGCCTGGTAGCAAAGCTTTTGCGGGGGACGATAGGTTTGGTGTGTGTTTCCTGATGCGGGGTATATACTCACGAATCAAAAAGCAGATTTTTGCACAGACAGCTCACAGTCCCAGGGAGAAAGTGGCAGGGTTGAAATAGAAGCCCACTGATATGTATGGTCAGAAGTTCAGACCTTCAGGATACATATTGGTCTGGACAAAATGTAAATCTGTATTCGGGAAGGTTGTTTTTAAATTCACACGAATTAGGGGCGCTGGGGTGGCTCAGTCAGTTAGGCGTCAGACTCTTGATTTAGGCTCTGGTCACGATCTCAGTGGTTTGTGAGATCGAGCCCCTCAACTCTGCACTGGGCCTGGAGCCTGGAGAGATTCTCTCTCTCTCCCTCTCTGCTCCTCCCCCACTCCTTAGGATGTGCACACACACGTGTGCTCTCTTTCTCTCTCTCAAAAAATTTTTTAACCTGAATTAAATGAAATGCTGTTAGCTTCAGACACCCCCATCCTTTTGTACAGCAGACATCCCGCTTGGTCACCACCTGGGCTCCAAAGCTCTCTCCCCTGCTCTGAGTGGGAGCCCTCTTTGCTTATCCAAAGTCTTCGAACCTACAGTCTCAACCTCCTGCCCTGTGTAATGACCCATGAACAACGTCCATTTCTGGAGGAAGTGGTTGATGTTCTCTAAGCTGTGTGTGAGGTCTTAAAAGAAATACTTTTTCTTGCACACATGAGCTAGAGATAAAAAGTTCATAGCCTGCTGGGCAGACAAATGAGGAAACTCCTTCCTGGGGCGCCTGGGTGGCTCAGTCAGTTGAGTGTCCGACTTTGGCTCAGGTCATGATCTCACAGTTTGTGAATTCGAGCCCCCCATTGGGCTCCTTGCTGACAGTGCAGAGCCTGCCTGGGATACTCTCTCTCTTCCTCTCTCTCTCTTTCTGCCCCTCCCTCACTTGTTCTCTACCTCTCTCTCTCTCTCTCTCTCTCTCAAAATAATAAATAAATAAACTTTTAAAAAAGCAATGCCTTCCCAAACTCCCAAATGCAATATAGACCATCTCAGTGAGGAAACTGTCCCAGGGGGTGGCCAGTCACTGGGTCCCCCAGACAGCCTAGAGGTCAGGAGTCTTTGACACCCACGGAGAGAGGTACTCCTGGCTTCCTTGATTTCTGTTTGTATCTCAGCCTTCATGTGTCCTCTGAATTTAATCTCCACCTTCTCTGGAAAAGGAGTTTGAGGCTAGACAAAAATACTCTCCCAGGGTGTTTCTGTCCTGGATGGGTAGTTGTCTAGCTTGTGTTTGGGGACCGGCCAGGAGGCAGTGACACACGGATCAGAGGCCGGGCGCGTGGAGCCCTGCGCCACCTGGCACGAGTTCACATCTGAGCTCTGCCACTTTCTAGCTCTGTGACTTGGGGCAAACAAGTTACTAAGGCCAGGCCAGATTCAAGAGGAGGGAACTAGAACCTATCTTGCAGTGAGAAAAGTGTTGAAAACTCAAAGCAGCCTTCCACCCACCACAAACAAGAAAAAGCATGGCAGGCGGCAAAATAAAACAGGAAGGGTAGCCAGGGAGAGGTGGGGCCCTAAGAGGAACCGGGCGGTTGGCAAAGGCCCCCCAAGGATGTCCTGTGAGCAGGTGAGAGACCAAGCCCTGAAGCGGTCTCTGGGAGGAGCCTTCCAGGCCACAGGAACTCCGAAGACAAAGGCTCTGAGGCAGGGGGATATCTGGTGTGTTCCAGGAACGAAAAGCGATGGCAGTGACTATTCCCTTGTATTTTGCAAACTACCTGGGAAATACCCTTTTTGCCCCTTGAAACGGAAGCCATTTTCTTATTTCATAAGTCAACACAACCCATCAATCAACAAGAAAAAAAAAAAAAAAAAAAACAATAGAAATATGGGCAAATGATACGAGAGCACAGTTAACAGAAGAGGAAACTCAAAGGGCCGAGGAACGTGAGAAAACGCTCACCTTCACAAGGACTCAGGGAGCGCCCTGGGAAGGACACTGAGGTTCCATTTCACACTCACTCAATGCACAAACATGGAAACACTGATACTCAGTGTGTCGGGGTAGGAAGTGGAGAAATTTGTATTGCCACACGTGGATGATGACCTTAACATTCTAATATCCTTTTTTTAAAAAAAAATTTTTTTTAACGCTTATTTATTTTTGAGACAGAGAGAGACAGAGCATGAACGGGGAGGGTCAGAGAGAGGGAGACACAGAATCCGAAACAGGCTCCAGGCTGTGAGCTGTCAGCACAGAGCCCGACGCGGGGCTCGAACTCATGGACCGCGAGATCATGACCTGAGCCGAAGTCGGACGCTCAACCGACTGAGCCACCCAGGCACCCCTTTTAATATCCTTTTTTAAAAAAAGGATCTGGAGGAAATACTCTGTGTATTTCTATGAATTTGGAACATTTTATAATTCAAACTTTTCAAGAACGTTTATCTATTCTGAGAGAAAGAGAGAGGGCACGCGTGCCTGGGTGGGGGAGGAGCGGAGAGAGAGAGAGAGAGAGAGGCAGAGAGAGAATCCCCAGCAGGCTCCGTGCTGTCAGTGCAGAGCCCGACGAGGGACTCCATCCCGTGACCATGAGATCGTGACCTGAGCTGAGATCAAGAATCGGATGCTTAACTGACAGAGTCACCCGGGTGCCCCTCGAATTTCTAAAATGTAAGTCGTAAAGGTTAATATGCTCATCGTAAAAGACTCAGACAGTGAATTACTGCACTTTACCATTCAGAAAAACAAAAATCAGCGTTAGCATTTTGGTGCCTGGCCGCCTTCGGGTTTTTCTGTGTCTTCAAAACACAGAATGTGCCTGCACGCACATATACACACATGCCGTCTGTGATAACTCCTGAGGGGAAACTGAGACCTGCCTTGAGTGACCTCTCTCCTCCCCGGGCCTGTGACTACCAGGCAGAGCCCAGCGGGCAGCAAGGGGCCACCCTCTCCAGTGGATGGACGAGCGCGGCTGGGAAGGACAAGGACCCTGAGCCTGCTGGGAGGCTGGGGACAACAACCCCACGCTCTGGGCAGTTTGGCAGGATTTTAAACATTTCGCTCATGTTGACAAGGACCCTCTTATTTTTTTTTTTTTAATTTTTTTTT